CCATTGATGGGGTTACTTCCACCTTTTGGCTCTTGAGAATAAAGCTGTAATGGGCGTGGCTGTACAGACACCTCTCTGAGGTCCCATTTTTCAGTTCTTTGGGATAAAATCTGGAAGTGGGATTGCTGAATTATATGGTAGTTCTATTTTTAGCTTTTTTGAGCAATCTCCACATTGCTTTCCGTAGGGGCTGCAACATATGTGTGGTATATAGTTTTAAATCTTTATTTAAATATACACTGAATAGTACATAAAACACTAGCAGATTATTACATAGCACACATTTATTTAGGTCAAGAAATAGAACTTCCCACGCTTCCACAAACCCTTCTCTTTTCCCTTCCTCTCCTTTATGAGCCTGTCTTCTTACAATTATTTTGGCCTGTAGTTTTAGAACTTTGAATAAATGGAATCCACAGTTTATCCATTTTGAATAATGCTGCTGTGAACATTCTTACTCATGTTTTTTGCTGTACAGTCATGAGTAGAATTATTGTGCCATAGGATAGGCATTCACTGTTAGCAGACATCACAGTAAAAAGTTCTGCTAATTTTATTCTTGTGAACAGTATATAAATTTTATGGCTGTTCTACATCTTTGCCGGTGCTTTGTGTTGTATTGTCGGTCTTTTAAAATTTAACACTATGTGGGTGTGAATTAAGTTTGTATTTACTGTTTCTTTTTTTGAGACGAAGTCTTTTTACTTTGTCACCCAGGCTGGAATGCAGTTGGTGCAATCTTCGCTCACTGCAACCTCCTCCTGCCATCAAGCGATTCTCCTGACTCAGCCTCCCTAGTAGCTGGGATTACAGGCATGCACCACCATGCCCAGCTAAACTTTTGTATTTTTAGTAGAGACAGAGTTTCACTATGTTAGCCAGGCTGGTCTCGAACTCCCCACCTCAGGTGATCTGCCCGCTTCGGCCTCCCAAAGTGCTGGGATCACAGGTGTGAGACACCACATCCGGCCTTATGCTTACTTTCGTGATTCACATTGAGATTGAGCTGTTGTTGTGTTGTTTTGAGACAGGGTGTTTCCGTGTTGCCCAGGTTGGAGTGTGCAGTGGTACGCTTACAGCTCACGGCAGCCTCAAACTACTGGACTCAAGTGGTCCTTCCCACTTCAGCCTTCCCAGTAGCTGAGACTACAAGCATGCACTGCCACACTTTGACTAATTTTTTTTTTCTCTTTTTTTGGTAGAGATGGTCTCACTGTGTTGCTGATCATGAACTCCTGGCCTCAAGCAATCCTCTGTCTTGGCCTCCCAAAGTGTTGGGTTACAGGCACTCCTGGCCAGAGTTGCTTTTTATATTGGCTATTTGGATATTGTCTTTTGGAAGTGACTGTCGAAATCTCTTATAATTTTCTACTGTGTTGTGTGTCATTTTTCTTACTGATTTGTAGACTTTCTTCACACTTTTTGCAGATGAACTCTTTTTCAGTTACATTTGTTGGAGGAGCCAGGGGCAGTGGCTCACTGTAATCCTAGCACTTTTGGAGGCTGAGTTGGGCGGATCACTTGAGCCCAGGAAGTCGAGACCAGGCTGGGCAATAGAGCAAGACCCCATTTTTTTAAAAAAAACACACATGCATTTTTTTAGAAGTATTTTTCATTCTGTGACTTGCCTTCTCATTTTTTTGAATAGTATATTTTTATAAATAGAGATTACTAATATAATACAGTTGATCAGTATTTTTCTTAGGGTTACTGGTTTTTCTGTCCTGTATAAGAAATACTTTTCAACCCCAAGGTCCGGGAAATTATTCCCATTACCTTTTAGAACTGGATGATTCGTGCTGTAGCCACTAGATCCATGTGGCTATTTAAATTAATGGGGAGTCGAGTCTGTTCTCTCTCCCCCGCTGCAAGACCCTGTTGCAGTGGTCCCTGTCTCCATGGCCCTCTTTAAATAAAGTCAGCCTTACCACCTTATTATTAAATAAATACATTTAAATTGTTAAAAATAAATTGTAGAATTAACTTCCTTAGTTGCAGTAGCCACATTTTCAGTGCTCAGTGTGTGTCTAGTGCTCAACTTGACTAGTGGCAAAACCATACTGGACAACACAGATGCAGACGATTTCTATCATTGCAGAAAAGTTCTCTTGGGTTGTTTTGTCCTAGGACTTGATTATTGTACCTTCACATTTATATCTCTTATTCATCTGTAATCACTTTACATGAGTGGTTTAGGGAAGGGGTCGAGCTTCATTTTATTTCCTATGAATAGTCCACCTATTCACTAGTCAACACCATTTAGTGAAAAGACCATCCTTTCCCCATTGCCCAGCAAGGCAACCTTTGTCATCATTTAGGCCTGTTTCTGGGCCATCTGTTCTGTTTCATTGGCACATTGGTCTATCCTCGTGCCAGTACACAGTCTTTATGACTTTGCTTTAAAACGTGGTTATGATGCCCTTTAGTGAATTCTCTTTGCATCTGTGTTGAAAATGTGTGATACTGGTTTTGTGTCCTGTGTTTGTAATGTATGTAAAGTATGTGACATACCTCATTCTAAATCCTGCTTTGAAAATCTTTATTGAATGCCTGTTACATGTGCCAGGTACTGTTATAGGTGCTGGGGAATAAAGCACATCTAAACTTACCGTAGAAACTTTCATGCAAATAGATTGTATGGTTAGGAAGATGATTCTCATAGTGATCATAAAGGCAAGCAAGAAAAGAGAGGGAGGTGAAAATGCTGTGCAGGTAAAGCCAGTATAAATTGTTGAAGGATGTGTCACAATTCTGTATGACTGTAGGAGAGGTTTTTAAAACAAAAACGTTGTTTGATTTTGATGCATTCTCATTTGAGTGGCTCAGTGTTGAGTATATGGTTATGTTTCTTTTATTTCAGGCTTGCTCACTGTACTTTGTTCGTGCGGGGAACAATGCTCTCATGGTCATTATAATCTAAACATCCCCTCCCAAAGTGTTAGGGAAAATCTGTTGCAGCTCTCTGCAGTCTACTGTCAGTTACCACTTGTACCCATGTTTTATAGCCTCTTCTGTTTTGTTACTGCTGCTATCATTTCTGCCATTACTCTTTGTCCTGTGGACTTGTTTTTAAAAGTTCTGTTATGATAATTTTAGTAAAGTTTCAGAGGAGAGGGGAGGCTAGTGCATGTGCTTAGCCTGGCATCTTGAGCTTTTTAGACAGAATTTTCCCCTTTTATGATACATATATTTATTTCCTGTTGCAAAGAGATGGAACTTCTTGCAGTCTATTGAAACTGCCATATATCTCTATGATTTTGTTTTTGGATTCTGTAAGAGATCATGTTTAGTAGACTCATGTTGTTGTCCATGAGTCTACAGGAAGATGTTCATGTTCTGTTTCAGAAAATATTTCTGTAGTTTTGTGCTTTTCTTAACTCATCAAATACAATGTGTGGCTCGCCCTTGGCCCTTCATACTGCTTACCTTAATTGTGTAGACCGTAACCAGTTTCTACTTTGACTGAAGTTTGACGTACACAGGTCACTTGAATGTGGGGATTCTGTCTATCCCTCTACGCCCTAGTGTACAAGGTGCTATATACTATAGTCTCTTTAAGTGTTAGATGAAAAACGAGTCTAAAACGCAGAGTTTATATTAAAAATCGAGTTGTCTGCTTAATGGTATTGTGTTTTCCTTGTAGAGTGTAGTGATAAACTTTGTGAGACTGGGTGAGTCGTTTTAGGTAGAAGATATGTGGAGCTTTCAAGTGACACTGGAGTATTTATATATGTTAATGGAATAGGCTGTCTAATTTTGGTGTGTGGGTATGGTGATGAGACCAAGGCTCTGAGTCTGATTTTTACCCCTTGTGTGTCCCCAATATGTGGATCGTTTTGTGGGACACTGCGTTCTTAACACTGGCAGACTTGCCCTCTAATAACTGATACTGCTGTCCAAAAGTTTAAATACAACCATCCATGAATGAACAACCCAGATCGTCAGGCTGCTGGAAAAAACAACCCAAAACGTAGACTTTCAAGATGATTCGGTGAAGTTTCCTTTTGATATGGAGAATAGTAATAGGCTAAGAAGTCGTAAACATTTCACTGGATAACTCACTTTTACTTAAAATAGTTGACAATAATAATCCCATTCTTTTATTTAAACTTTTTCCATAGGTGGTTCTCTGAACTAGTTTTAAATTTTTTTATGAAAATGTTTTTAATCGTGTGATAAAAGATGAAATTCTGAATATTATAATTCTCACTTTTGCTGAGATATTAATGCTAACCCAAGTAGTTCATAAGTAGTCCCTTTACGAGATAGCTTAAATTATGTTCTTTCAAAGTAATACTAAATGAAATTAATCATCAGTGTGTGCCAGGTTCATAAGATGAGAAAGCAAATTAAAGGCGAGTAAGTAGTAGTTGATGGGGTGCATGGGGCTATTGCTGGGTGGTGCTGAATATGGACTTGATTGGTGACAAAGCTGTCTGGAACAGCAGTCTTGGGGTGGGAGGCAGGGGTCAAATGGGATCCCTTCATTTATAAGAGCCCTTTTTTTAAGCTTTCAGCAGCGAAATAACCAAAAGGCAGGCATCAGAAAGGAAAAGGAGACAGTACATCATATTAAGTAACAGATTGGGGAGTTGACCCTAAAGTGGGCAGAGAAAGAAGGTGTGCCTCATCTAGCTCTTTCTGGGCAAGCCTTTCTTTAGTCATTACTCTTTAGATGAACTCCCTTATTATGGGTGCTCAGTTTTTTTCATCGGTATGCCTCTATACCATCAAAGCAATCAGATTGATCCATATTTAACATCATTATTTCCCTAATGAATCGAGCTTATTTATTCAGTGTTATTTAGCCTTTTTTCCCCTTTAAGTTTTCTCATTTAATCCTTGAAGGCCTTTAGAAATATAAAAAATAGAATATAATTGTATAAAGACACAGCTAATGGGCTATCGAGAATTTGCAGGGTCCTTTGGAATTGATTACATATTTGATTATTTTGAAATATTTTTCAACAATGGTCCATATATTTTTGTTTTCATTTTAGAACAAAATCCAGTCTCATAGCAGAGGAGAATATAATGTTTACAGCACCTTCCAGAGCCATGAACCAGAGTTTGACTACTTGAAAAGTTTAGAAATAGAAGAAAAGATCAACAAAATTAGGTGGTTACCCCAGAAAAATGCTGCTCAGTTTTTATTGTCTACCAATGGTAAGTATATGTATTTTCTTTCTATGTGCCCACTGTGTGTACTTGTTGCACATAATCCTGTAGACTAGGAGAGGAATCATTTAACAGAGATAATTTTAAAAAGGACTTTTTTTCTATACAGAATATAAACTCTACTTTTTTACTGTTCACTTGCAGTTTTTAGATTCTCTGAAAGATTCTCAGATAGCAATTTTTTGTTTACTACACCCCCAATTTGTAGCGAAAAGAATGGGCTGCTATACCATTGGATTTAGGTCAGGTACTATTTCTGCTATTTCTCAGTCTCCTAATCTTGGGCAGGTTACTAACACTGAATTGAATTTTCCTCAGCAGCGAAGTAGAGATAGTAATTTTTTATTATAGTATTATGAATATTAAGTAACTCTTCACATATGTCATGAGTGCAAGTGCTCAATAAATGTCAATTTATTCCTCCTTTTTAAGTGTTCCTGAACTCTACACAGAGTATTTCTAACTGCAGATACAAAATAATACTCAAAGGACGGTCTCCATTCAGAGCACTCTTCTTACTTGACTACCTATTAGCATATTGCCTTCTTCCCAGCAATCCACATGGCTGGAAGGAGATTCCTCTCCTACTGTTTTACTTGCCCAGGGAGAGGTTTTTGTTGTTTTTTGAGACAATGTCTGTCGCCTAGGCTGGAGTGCAGTGGTGTAATCACAGCTCACTGCAACCTCGATCTCCCCACCTCAGTCTCCTGAGTAGCTGGGACCCACAGGTGCATGCCACCACACCAGGCTAATTTTTTTAAAACATTTTTTGTAGAGATTGGGTCTCCCGATGTTGCCCAGGCTGGTCTTGAACTCCTGGGCTCAAGCAGTCTGTCCCCCTCCTCAGTCACCCAAAGTACTGGGATTACAGGTGTGAGCCACCATGCCTGGCCCAAGAAAAGTTAAGTGAGGATTAAAAGTTAGTAATGACTCTACCAGAATTTGAAATCCTTTATGATAAGTTGGGTTCTTTTTCTTTGTTCTTATAAAAAACTTTTCCCATGAATTGTTTGGACTTCGTTGGAGTCTTGAGTCTAAAGGGAATCATTAGAGTGACTGAGGAGATACTTTAGTTTCTTGGTAGCTGTAGTCTATAAAAATTTGTGATTAAAACTTTTTTGAGGTTGGTGCTAGGGTGAGGGGAAACCTCCTCCTATTTTCTCATTCCCTCACTATTAATTTAAAAAGCAAATTTTAACACCTAGACCATAACCATTTGCAGAATATAAACTTAAATGACTTTGGGGATGAAATAGGGGAAGAAATTCAGCACTTCCTCCATCTAATTGATGCCCTTGGTCCACAGTATGAGTTCTTAAAAATGCTGTTCACAAATGTCTGATGCCATCAGTGTTGGCCGCCTCTTGGATGCCCAGTTTTCTGATCATGAAAGCTCTCCCCAGCCAGTCCATTGGGATTCGTACCCGCTGCCTTCTCTCTTTCCACAATAAACTGCATTCCCCTCTCTTGTCCTTATTAGAAGAACAATAAACAGAAGTAACTATTTAAAGCCTGTAACTCACAGCAGCATGGGTGGAGGGAACAGTTTACTCCTATCATGTGCTAGCTTCTAGTCTGGGGTCAGTTTTAATTTATATGGTAAACTAAGTTACTTCAAATAGCTTCATATATTTTGTTCTTTGACATCAGATGATACATAACTAAACCATTTATATAATTTCTACTTATAGAATAAATGTTCCTAGGGAAGTGTGTTGTTAACATTTTATATATTGGAATGTTTCATGGCAGTTTATTTCTTACAGGGCTATGTCAGCTTTTTTATAAAGAGGACTTTTTAAATGTAGGCTGAGGTCAAGAGAATAGTATAGTGAAGCCCTGCATGCTCATCATCCACTTCTGACGCTCCTCAGTTCACGGTCAATTTGTGTCTCAAATCCTTCTCCTTCCTCTTCTCCTCAGTGTTATTTGGAAGCAAATCCCATTTCAACTTGTGTGGATTAAATCTTATTTAAAGACATTAGAGAATGCATTGTAGATTTTTGTCTTTTGTTTCTTAACACTAAGTAAAATACAACTAACTGGGGGCTGCATTTTTTAATGCTAAAAATAGTGCTTAATAATAGGGTCCAATGTGGAAGGATAGAGCAGATTATGACAATCATAGGAACTGTTGTGTCTGGGTATGATGGGAAAAGGATGGGAGGAGTAGGACTTTAACTATATTTGAAAAACTAGAAGGAAATTTAGAGAAAAATGTCAACATCTGTTGATTCTGAGTGATATCTTTTAGATTTTGTGTATTTTTCTCTGTGAGTTTTTTCTGTAAGCATAGTACCACCACCACCCTCCGCTCCGCGTCGCACACCTCCCCCCTCCACCAGTGTAATGGGGTCTATATAAAAACTACGACTACCAAACTTTCCAGGTTTGATTAACCAAAATTAATCTTATAAAAATCTTTGCATTGGCAATATAAAGTACACTCATAAATAGGATGTGTCTTAACTGCTTGGTAAGAAGTTTTTAGGATCTTACATAAAGCTGCATTCCCACAAAGGAAACGGCAGCGTGGTTTTCCCTGCTCATACCCTCTGCTTGTGGTGAGAGGAACTCTCTTCTGCAGCTTCTCCAATGCCTTTAGTTATTATTGTTGATAATTCAGGGGAACACCACAGAGTGGTCGTTTTGGAAGGAACAGATCTTGAGAATCTAATAACCCCTCCACTGAAAACTGTGTTTTTACATAATCTTACATACAGTTTTATGGAGTTTGATTATTCTCACATACCTTGTCTTACAAGCCAGTAAAACATCACTGCTATAGAACATAAGGATTCAGATTTTTTTTTTTTTTTTTGAGACGGAGTCTTGCTCTGTTGCCCAGGCTGGAGTGCAGTGGCGCTATCTCGGCTCACTGCAAGCTCTGCCTCCTGGGTTCACGCCATTCCCCTGCCTCAGTCTCCCGAGTAGCTGGGACTACAGGCGCCCACCACCACGTCCGGCTAATTTTTTGTATTTTTAGTAGAGACAGGGTTTCACCGTGGTAACCAGGATGGTCTTGATCTCCTGACCTCGTAATCCGCCCGCCTCGGCCTCCCAAAGTGCTGGAAATACAGGCGTGAGACACCGCACCCAGCCTTAGGATTCTGATTTAAAATTTATGTCATATTTGTTAACATACTAATTTATTTCCTGCCTGCTTTGTCCCCCCTGTACTGAAAAATGTATCCTAATTCGTTATGTGTCCTGTGTTTGTGTTAATGGAAAAAATATTTTTTAGAGAGCTTTCTTCCTGTAAACAGTATTAGGTACCACAAACCAATTTCATCTCATCTGAAAGTTTCATAAGTACATTGTGGTTTCTTTATTTGGATCTTTAATAAGGAGGATGGATTTAAACAGGCCACAAGACAACTGGACGAGGGGGTGGGGGTGTTGTCATCCTCATCACAAATACTTTGCAAGTATTTAGAACAAATACTTCTCAAAATACAGATTTAGGCTAGGCTCATATCTATCTATAAATTGTATACATATATAAACTAACACATAGAACATGTATGACTGAAGTACAAGAAAATTATAAGCAAGATCACATAGGGCTTAGAAGAAATAGTAGATTACAGATTATTAAAGTTAGCAGCTTTTCTCTGTTTACATTTCAACATTGGGAAGGGCATCCTTAGGGGCAACTATCATTCTTCTCTACGATACAGAGACTACCAGGCTAGAGTCACTGGCATCTCTCTGAGTTGTTTTTAACTGTTTTTATAAGATGGCTTTATATACTGTTTTAAACAATTTTGTTATACCATTTTGCTTATGAAAGATCATTAGGAATATGATACTTTTCTATAAGAATATTATTTTACGATTATAACAGTTTTAAATCAACGTGCATGAGCTTATAGTGATACAAATAAACAATTGAATGGATAAATGGAGAGAAGGGATGCTTCCTGCAGGAGAATTCTAAATAAGACGTGGATACATACTCTTCCCTACAGGGAGTATAACTTACTTCTCCCTTTAAGTACAGGATGGATTTAGTGACTTACTTCTAAAGAATAGAATATGGCAAGGGTGAAAGGGTCATTGTATAGTGGAGAAGCCTGGCAAACATTGTCTTAACGAAATGACCAAAGTTAACACCACCAGCTGTAAGTCATGTTGATACCGCTGTATCCCCTTGAACAGTGCTGTGAGAAGTCACTTCACCTCTGTGTTCTTTTCCTGAAAACCCATGGTCTCAATCTGATCATGAGGAAACAGCAGGCAAATCCAGTTGAGGGATATGCTTTCTAGAAAGTACCTCACCGCCAATACTCAAAACTGTCAAGATCAAGAAAAACAAGGAGAGCCTGAGAAACGTAAAGGCAGAGAGACTGAGGAAACTTGATGACTAAATGCAGTGTTGTTTCAATTCTGGAACAGAAAAGGAATGTTAGTGGAAAACTTGGTTAAATCTCCAAATGAAGTCTGTAGTTGAGTTAATAGTAATATACAAAGTTGATGTCTTAGTTTTGACACACGTACCACGGTTGCGTAAGATGTTGACAGAAGAAACTGGGTAAAGGATATATGGAACACTACAATTCTTGTAACTTTTCTGTAAATCTAAACTTAATTGTAAAACAAAAGTTTGTTTTTAAACAGATGCCATTTTATATATCCTTGATACCTAGGAATTTGGTTTCTTCTTGAAGGACTTGGGGATATATGCTTTTAATCAGTTTTCTTCAGGCCCTGTTTCCTACTTCTGAACCCTGATACGAAATTCAATACTGAGCGTATATGGAGTGTATGTGTACATGTATGTACAGACATACATGTGTTTGCATACACCACACATGCATATCAAGTTTTTCCCTCTAGCTTTAATTACTTTTAAAGGATAGGGATAGAGACCTGTGACTTGATTTGACTATCACATGGAATTTATATGAGTGCCACTAATGTATAAATTTGTGATCTTTGTACTGTATGTGTGTGTGGTATTCAGCTGTTAATAGGAAATTTTTTAGTAAGTCAGCTTAGGGTTTTTGTTTTTTTTTTTTCCATGGAATCCTTTTAGATGGAATGTGAAATAGCATATTTTAAATGCCTTAAAATGTTTTTCTTCTTCAGTACTACCCTTTTATTTTAAGGACTTGCTTTATTTTCTTCCCAGATAAAACAATAAAATTATGGAAAATCAGTGAAAGGGACAAAAGACCAGAAGGGTATAACCTGAAAGAGGAAGATGGAAGGTATAGAGATCCTACTACAGTTACTACACTACGAGTAAGTACATAAGAATAAAATGTCACAGATAGTGTTTGTATTCATATTATATAGCCCAAATCCTGAGCAGAGCTTGAATAGGAATAATTATAGTCTGTCTCCCCTTTCCCAATAATTCTGTAATCAGGTAGAATATTGAGTAACTCATTTAAACATAGAAACTGACTTACATAGAGGTCTCACTTTGGCCAGGGACAGAAGCAGGACTCAAACACAAGACAGTGTTTCATGCCATCAGACTTCATCTCTGGTTTGTCATGTTAGCTACTACAAGGTCAAGTTTCAAGATAAATTTTCTTTGGAAATCAAAAAAGTAGATATAGATCAAATCTTCTAGTTGTAGCTAAAAAATACCCAAAGTTAGATGTTATGGGTTAATTTTTTTTTAGCCTCTTTAATTTGAACCATAAACATTTATTAACTTGGCATGTCTTTCAAGCAAAATATTGGAACTAAGAACTGCAAATTGTAATAGTATTGCTACCAGTAAAAGAAGATATATTATCCACATTGTTCATTTTTCTTCAGCATTTTGAAAGGATCAACATCAGTTCCTTTTTAAAACTAAATCTATGTAATATTGTTCTATTTTATGTTCTCAGAAACTAAAATAATGAAGTTTTGTGAATCTTAATTGCTATTTGAAACTGAACCTTTTGTAACTTCTTTTTTTCATGTGTCTTATTGACAGGTGCCAGTCTTTAGGCCTATGGATCTAATGGTTGAGGCCAGTCCACGAAGAATATTTGCCAATGCTCATACATATCACATCAACTCAATTTCTATTAATAGTGATTATGAAACATATTTATCTGCAGATGATTTGCGGATTAATCTTTGGCATCTGGAAATTACAGACAGGAGTTTTAGTATCCATTTGGTTTTCTTTGGTGTTTGGTGAAGAGGCATGTTGTGCCCATATTGGATTTATTTCATCTCTCCTTAATGAATGTGATTCCTTCTTTTTATAGTCTGCATACATATATGTATGGCAACTTACTTTTTCTTTGTATATGAGTAGTGAAATACTGGAAAAAGTTATTTGCTAAACATAAAGGGCATAATGTATTATTTTAAAATTGGATTCATGGAATTTTAAGGAATTTGTCTTGTATCTATGGAAATAGGAATTTTTAAAAATCAAATTTGTGAAGTCTGTGCATGGTAGCTCATGCCTGTAATCCCAGCGGTTTGGGAGGCTGAGGTGGGAAGATCACTTGAGGCCAGGAGTTCAAGGTTACAGTGAGCTTGATCTTGCTTCTACACTCCAGCTTGGATGACAGAGTAACACCCTGTCTCTAAAAAAATTTTTTTTTCTTCTAATCAAATTTATGGAGTATTGTGTTTGAATTTTTTATTGTAAAAATAGTCTCGGCCAATCGCGGTGACTCAGCCTGTAATCCCAACACTTTGGGAGGTCAAGGCAGGTGGATCACCTAAGGTCAGTAGTTCAAAACCAGCCTGGCCAACATGGTGAAACCCCATCTCTACTAAAAATACAAAACATTAGCTGGGCGTGGTGGTGCATGCCTATAATCTCAGTTGAGTTAGGAGAATTACTTCAACCTGGGAGTTCAAGGGTTGCGTGAGCTGAGATTGTGTCATTACACTCCAGCCTGGGCAACAAGAGTGAAACTCTGTCTCCAAAAAAAAAAAAATATATATATATATATATAGTCTCATTAAGATTAGAAAAAGAAATTGACTTAAGTCATGATGCATGATTGGGTCAATAAAAATACTCTATTGAGGCCGGGTACAGTGACTTTGGGAGGCCGAGGCAAGGCTGGTGGATCATGAGGTCAGCAGTTCGAGACCAGCCTGCTCAATATAGTGAAACACCGTCTCTACCAAAAACAGAAAAAAAAATTAAAAATTAGCTGGCTGTGGTGGTGTGCGCCTGTAATCCCGGTTTCTCGGGAGGCTGATGCAGGAGAGTCGCTTGAACCTGGGAGTCGGAGGCTACAGTGACCTAAGATTGTGCCACTGTACTCCACCCTGGGTGACAGAGTGAGACTCCGTCTAAAAAAAAGGTTTTAATCCCTTTGGAATTTATACTCATAAAAACAGTGGAGTACAATTCAGAATTAATACTTTTGCTTAGGTCCGTGAATGGGTTTTAGGTTTGAGAAATGTAGAATTATATTTGCCCTTTTTTCTAAGTGGAAATTCCTTAATAAAATGTTATCTAGACATTGTGGATATCAAGCCTGCCAATATGGAAGAGCTGACAGAGGTGATTACAGCAGCAGAATTTCATCCAAACAGCTGTAACACATTTGTATACAGCAGCAGTAAAGGAACTATTCGGCTATGTGACATGAGGGCATCTGCCCTCTGTGATAGACATTCTAAATGTAAGTTTATTGTGTCTTTCCTTAAAATGATTACATATTCTGTTTGTCTGAAATAAGCCTCAGATATGATAAGTACAATTACAGAGGTTTACAAGTCTTAAACCTGTGTGTCCAGAGCCACTTGTACCCTTGGTAATCTGCCTACCTCCTCATGAGGCCTTCCAGGTTATTCCCTGGAAGCACATATAGTCAAGCTCTCTTGGGGGGCATGTCTGTTGATAATATAGACAAGGAGTGTATTTCTCATGGAATGCTGCTGTTCTTTGGTAACTTGTGGTTGGGCTCTCTAACCTTGTGTTCAAGTAGAGCTGCTCCTTTCTTTCCCATCCTCCCTTCCTATTTTGAGCTTCCTAGGAAGATTTCTTCTGAGAAGAGGTTTCTTTGGCTTAAAAAAACAAAAACAACTTTGGTTTAAAAACTTCAGGATACAGTATTCTTGTCTTGTTGAATATTAACTCATGAAAATTGATACATGCCTGTTAGCAAAATAATTTTACCTGGCTACTAGAAAATAAAATCCTGGTATGAATTTGGGATGGGCAAGGATGGTGTGTTTCTCATGGTGAATATAGGCAGTGAGTGAGGCATATTGCAGGAATATACCAATAAACCTGGTGCACTGAAGTCAGAAGTCCCAGGTGAGTCTGGTTCTAAATTAGTCATGACTGGAAGTATACTGAATACTTATACATCTTCAACTTCAATATTCAATTATCCTAAGAAGCTTTCAGGAGAAAACTAGCCAGACAGATGTTTTTCAGTTCTTTATTAGCCTGGTATTTTACCTCACTTGTAGGGAGTTTGTGAATGGTTGTTTAGGAAATGCTTTGTCCAAGCCAGAATATTGTACACCTTGCCCTTTTTGTGTTGTTTTGTTTTGTTTTTAGTGTTTGAAGAACCTGAAGATCCCAGTAACAGGTCATTTTTTTCCGAAATCATCTCCTCTATTTCGGATGTAAAATTCAGCCATAGTGGTCGATATATGATGACTAGAGACTATTTGTCAGTCAAAATTTGGGACTTAAATATGGAAAACAGGCCTGTGGAAACATACCAGGTATTTGCAGTTTTTTCTTTCAATGAGCATATACCCTGTTTACTTTGAAGTGTTTATAGAGAAGGATTTTGTTACTAGGTTTTAATCCCTGTATGGTGTTGGTTCACCATTAGGCCTTTTCCCTCAGAGATCTATGAGTATGTTGCTTTTCCTTATGTTAAATGTATGTATACTTACATAGGTTGTGTCTTCTCTTGAGTTTGCAGTTAAAGTGTGATTTACCCATTTGGTTCAGTATTGACATTTTTTTTTTCCTGCCGCTATGTACATTTAAAGTGAGAAAGGAAGAGCACCCCTCATTAAGGTCTGGGCAGGAAGAGGATTGGGGAAAATGACCAGTCCTAGTAGAGGTGCATCTGCTCAGGTTGTGGGAGTAGTTCAACTAGAGATTAAACTTGGTGTGCCAAGTCAAATGGACTGGTGTTCTGCCTTTTGGCAGATAACTGTTGTCTTCAGCTAAAGGAGAAGGGCTTGAAAGCCTTAGCAGATGGCTTTAGGAGTTGCTTATCCATTGTTGGGTATCAGTTCTTGATTCTCTTATCAGCCAGCCACTACTATTTATCTGTGTCCACTACATCAAACAAAAGAGAATGAAGTACACAATCTGGAACAGGGTGAGGGCCAGCACAAACCTATACTAGGCCCTAGACTGCAGTGTTGAAATCACTTAACTCTATTTTATACATACACTTTCTTTATGTTATATATTCTCAATAGACTTGGAAGTATGTTTCTCAAACTTTTAAATCCTCTGACAAACATAAACCAAGATTGTTTTTGATATGTGAAATTTCAAAATAAATACTGCACTGAAACAAAAGCCAAAAAGACAAAATCCTGCTTTGCTTTTCAAAATACAGTTCACTATTGAGCAACACGGATTTGAACTGCATGGGTTCACTCGAACAGATTTTTTTGTTTTTTTCAACCAATGCACATTTGAAAATACAGTATTTGAGGGATGCAGACCCCTCAAATATATGGAGAGTCAAAACTTCATGTGTGGATTCCGCAGGGCTAACTGCAGATTTGGGCATCCCTGGGGTTCCTGGAACCAATCCCTCGTGTATACTGAAAAAAGACTTATGTTTGTGTAACTGCCAAGATTGATACATCTCCTAGTTACCCTCACCACCATTTCATTCCCATTGAGAAGAATTGATTTGAACCTTAGCTTCATACTGATGTATAGGGAGAAACTCTGTAACATGCATTCTAAAATGTTGCTAAATTATGATCTACCTAATTTTACCTGATTTGCTGCTTTTCTACCTATAATCAATTTGAGTGATTAAAAGTAGTCACATTATAGGCAAACGTATCTTATATAGATAAAAACTATTTTTATTGAATTTGTACCAGCGTCTTCCCAAGTTTTGTGTGATTGAAGGGTATTTTTTTCTTACTGATTTTTTTGTGTTACATGCTCAGTTTTGGTCCTGACCCCACATGAGTTGCTATTCCTCTGTATTACAGATTTTCACTTGATGTCACAGAGACATGGCCTGAATCATTCCTCTATATTTAAAGTTAAAATGGACACTGAAATAAGTTTAGATTGTTTCATATAGAATAGAGAATTTTAAGCATTTAGAAAGTACCTACTCATTTCTGTCATTTCTCGTTAAGTAGCTCCTTAAAAAAAGAGGGTGAAATATAGACACTTCTTTTTTCCTTTGAGTTACAACAAATACTTGGGAACTTTTCTTTGTAATTAATATTAATGTTTAAATATGTCATATTTCTCAGGCTACTTTTTAAATATGAGATTTATTTCTAGTTTATCCTTTTTTGACATTAGTAAATACAGAATTGTATAATTCAGAAAACAGAGGCACAGCTTTGTTTGCTTTTGACATTGTATAAGTAATATATGATACTATCAAATTTTTAATAATATATGCCCAGGATAACCATATAATTTATCATCAAACCAAGGCATGGTTACACTATGCATACATGTGCATTTATAATTGGAAATAGAGGCTTCAGTCAAATTTATGCCCAGAAAATGGTATTTAAGAAAGAAATAGGCACAGTTTCAGTGTTGTTATCAGTAGTTAATGGACTGAAAGCCAAGAATAGTGATATTGAGATATTGCTGTAATGTTCTTTTATTAGTCTCTTAACTGTGCCATTTTCAAGTTTTTTTGGCCTGAATGTTTTCAGGCTTATAAAGGTTATGTGTGCCATACCCAGAATGGAGTTTTCCTTTGTCATACCAGTAGGAAAATGTGCCTCCCTGAAGGGCTTGTGTGTTTTGTAAAAGGACAAAATGCCTTTATTGTTACTGAGAAGATTGAGATTAATAGGTTTAAAAGGTTTGTTTGTGTGTCTGTATATGCCCATTTTTTCTTTTTAAAAATACGGACTTGTTAAATCATTTTCCTAATTTCAGTGTAGTATATTTGTATTTTTTCCCCAGGTGCATGAATACCTCAGAAGTAAACTCTGTTCACTGTATGAAAATGACTGCATATTTGACAAATTTGAATGTTGTTGGAATGGATCTGACAGGTAATTGATTTTAAGTCAGACCTCTCAAATACGAATTTTATAAAGAAAAGAAACTTAATTATTTCATTCCAGGTCCTAACTTCATTTGTCTCTAGGGATTCCTTGAAATACATTTACTAATCTTAGATATAGCACGGCAGTACTGGCAGATAAAAATTAAGCATTGTATTTCACTAGTAAATATAAAAGTACACAAATTCTAGGTAATCTAAATTATTTAAACGTCTAGAATTTTTTTTCTTACATGAACCAGATCACATTTCTGACATGCTAACCATTAAAACAGTGAAGCTTCAGCTTGGTTGTGATTCTACCATTAAACTGTTGTAGAAACATTCAGGCAGCAGATAATTCATTTGAATTGTTAGAGACACCAGGTTTTCCAGATGCTACATTGACACCTCATAGAAGTGGTCTTTCATATGTATGTTATGTATGATGTTAACCATAATATATATGGTTAAAATATTAGTAGTTTTCCTTTGCTTTTTGTAATTTCCAGTTTTGCTGTAGTGTAATTCCTTTTTAGTATACATTTTTAGTAAAATGTTACCGTTATTTAAAGATAAAGTAAGTCTTTGAGTCTTTTAGTTGTCTATTTGCCACTATGTTCCAGTAGAACATAAAGTAGTAAAACATAATTTTTGGAATTAAACTGACATTTAAAGTAATTAGAGATGCTTTAACAGCAGTTTTATCACAGAGCTTAATATGATTCCGATTTCATGGTGTTAGGTGTTACAAAGGATAATAGAACTTACAGAATGTCTTCTTTCGTCTGGCTTTTAAAATTACCTGATTTTTGACATGATGAGAGGACTAGTAAACTATTACTACTAGTAAACTAGTAGAGCTCTATTGGTAGCAAACATTGCCTTTGAGTGCCACTACTAAACCTGAGGCATCAAGAAAGAAGGAAAGGGAAGAAGAAAGAAGGAAAAGGAAGAAGAAAAAAAAACATTAACAAATTTGAAGAGTAAAGAGATACTGAACTAGGGTGTGGCACACAGCTACAACTAGTTCTTCCTTGTATTGTTTAAGCAGATTATTAGCAGTTGTATGTTCTATTATCAGAAAGAAACTATTTGTTTTCCTTAATATTAAAAATTTTTTTTAAATTATTTCAAACTTGGAGAAAATTTGTTAGAATAACACAAAGAACTCTTGGCCAGCCTTGACCCAAGTTCCCCTGTTGCTGTTTGCTGTATCACGTGGTCTATCCTCTGTTTGTTTATAGCTATATTTGTCCACATAGGTACATGCGCACGTGCTCACACACACAACTTGTGTGCTACATGGGAATTTACCCCGTTTACTCTAGATGTGATGCCCATAACCCTAAATTCTTGAATGAGTATTTCCTGACAAAAACACTTCCCAACATAGTGCAGCATCCAAAGCAACATTCACAGCGATGCAGTACTGCCCTGTAATCCGCAGACCCACTAAAACTCACCAGTTACTGTAACTGTGTCTTTTATGGCACAGAACAAAGTCAGTCTGGTTCAGTATCCAACATTTAGTTGTCATCTCTTGTTAGGCTCCTTTATTCTGAAACAGTTCCTCAGTCTCTCCTTGTCTTTTGTGATCTTGGCATTTTGAAGAACACAGGCCAATTATTTTACAGAATGTTTCCTCGTTATTAGATTCAGGCTATACATTTTTGGCAGGAATACCACAGAAATGCTGACCTAATGATACCTTTTTGAAGTTTCAAATAGCCACAGACTAAATGTCCTAACCCATTAAAACACACAGATGATATGGGGATGTCAATCTAAATTACATGAGCCATTTTTAAAGAAATACAGTTTTATCATGTTCAGGGGCATGCATTACCTTGAGTTTGATTAAAGTTGTCGTCAAGTGTTCTTTGGGAATTGACGTTACTAAATAGATAATCATTTGTACTCACTAGGTGACCTTTGTATGTAAGTATTACTTTGAACAATTCCCCAGTATCCTGTAATCCTTATTTACAATAATAATTTGAACCATGTGATAAGCAGTGGTAGCAGACCCTTTCCAAATTATTAAGAGCTTCAAACTTAGGAAGTTTTGTTTGTGAGGATACTTAATAACTGTCGAGCAGTAATGGCTGGCAAATAGAACTGACAGGGAAGTGTCTTGGGCAGCTTAAAAATTTTGCCACCCCTTTAAACTGATACTTCTACAAATATTTGCTTAAAATGTTTTTAGTGGTAAAAGTAAAATGATGTTCTGTTAATAAAATATTACAGCCTGGGCAATGTAGCAAGACCCTATCTCTACAAATTATTTAAAAATTATCTGGACATGGCAGCGTATGCCTGTAGTCACAGCTACTCAGGAGACTGAAGTGCAAGGACTGCTTAGCCCAGGAGGTCTAGGTTGTGGTTGCGGTGAGCTGTGATTGTGCCACCACATTCCAAACTGGGTGACAGAGTGAAACCCTGTCTCAAAAAAAAATATATATATATATATACACACACACACACACATATATTATGTACCACTTCTCAGGAGCAGATTATAAGCCTTTATTAAATGGGATTATCTGAACCAGACAACACCCTGAGAAGATAATTGTTTATTTATTTATTTACTTATTTATTTATGAGACAGTGTCTCTCACCCAGGCTGGAGTGCAGTGGTGCGATCTTGGCTCACTACATCTCCGCCTCCCAGGTTCAAACGATTCTCCGGCCTCAGCTCCTGAGTAGCTGGGACTACAGGCACGTGCCACCACCGACGCCGGCTTAATTTTTGTTATTTTTTTGTCGCCGTCGTTTTGTTTTTGAGATGGAGTCTTACTCTGTCACCCAGGCTGGATGGAGTGGGTGCGATCCTCGGCTCACCTGCAAGCTCTTTGCCTCCCGCGGTTTCAACGCCAATTGCTCGCCTGCCTCAGCCTCCCGAGTAGTTGGGACTACAGGCGCCTGCCACCACGCCCAGCTACTTTTTTTGTATTTTTAGTAGAGGCAGGGTTTCACTGTGTTAGCCAGGATGGTCTCAATCTCCTGATCTCGTGATCCGCCAGCCTCGGCCTCCCAAAGTGCTGGGATTACAGGCATGAGCCACCGTGCCTGACCCAAAAAATGTAAATCATAAGATAAAGCATTGGTTTCTTGTGAACAGCTACAGCTACTTCATGCGGGGTTCTTTCATTTTAGAACCTGTGAGTTCCACAGATAGTTGCTCCTTTGAGAAGCTGCCTGACCTGGTTGATCACATAACCTGTAGTTGCAAAACTATTCAACAAAGATAATTCTGTACTACTAAGAAGTTTTACTTGAGGATGCTGTCAACTTCGGTGATAGTTTTGGTAGCCATGAAAAGGAATAATAAGCAGAAAACTCAGTTAATTAGTACCATATTTTGGTTTATTCCGGTGATTGAGTTGATGTCAACAGCCCTGTCCCTTACTTTAAATCTGCTTGAAGTAGCTGTTTCCTATGGTTTAATCACTGAATCATTTTACTTAAAAACAATTTCTTGTTCTGCTTGTTTGACTGAGTGTACTGTCTATTTTCACAGCGTTGTCATGACTGGATCTTACAATAATTTCTTCAGAATGTTTGACAGAAACACAAAGCGAGACATAACCCTAGAAGCATCGCGGGAAAACAATAAGCCTCGCACGGTTCTGAAGCCTCGCAAAGTCTGTGCAAGTGGCAAGCGAAAGAAAGATGAAATAAGTGTTGACAGCCTAGACTTCAATAAGAAAATCCTTCACACAGCCTGGCACCCCAAGGAAAATATCATTGCCGTAGCTACTACAAACAATCTGTATATATTTCAAGACAAAGTGAATTAGGGTTGGCATTCCTAGCAGAAGAACCCACTTCCTGCTTAGTTGAGATAGTTGAATCTAGCATTCGTTCCTATAAAAGAGAGAGGTCCATTGTGGCGCCCCTTTCCAGTGTTTGACAGTGTGCCATTCGACAACACATTGTTATAGCTACATGGAGAAAGCTCTGTGGATTCATCACTGTGGTGTTCTCCATGTCTGCTAGCCATTTAGGTAAGGGTAGGGCACTTTTAATTTAAATGACTTCTTGCACCATCTTGCCTAATGGACTAGATTGGACTGTATCAACATTGATTTACTCCACTTTTTATGCCTTCCATTGTGATGACGTCAAACACAGTGAAAGCCTTCAGTCATGCTATGGGATTTAATTGTGTATCCTCATTACTGTATCATTTGTGGGGTACACCCCTTCCCCCTTTTTTTAAATTAAATACAGCTCATTCTTACTGTGGCTTGTAGCATTCCTCCTCTTCTGGCCTCCTGGACTCCTCCCCTTCATCTCTCTTACCCTTGCCCCCTCCACCCGGTCTTGGTGGTGGTATATTAAAAAAAGAAAGAATGAAAGCACACAAAATGAGTCAGTTTGGGGTCAGTGGTATAAAGGGGGTATATGTTGCGAACAAATGTTTTAATAACAGTTGGCTGTAATCACTCCTCGCCATGTCTGGCACTGAAAATAAGGAAAAAAAACCTACTACTGAATAAAAGTGACAAAGAATGGAGAATCTGGTTTTCTTTTTCTTTTTAACCTACCTCTTGTAGCCAATATTTTGTGTCATACCTTTGGGCACAGTGAAACAAAATGGGTTTTCATTGTTTTATTGGTATTTTTGTTAATTATTTTTAACAAGTGTTCTTCTACATGCAGGAGGAGAGGTATTGGTTCTCTATGAACATATTTTGAATATATATTGGTTTTATTAAGGATTTCACAATCTATAAATGCTACTAGTTGTTTTTTTTCTATTTACCGTCATCATGAGGGTATTGGATACGTTGTATCTCTATTTAACTCATTATCTGTTAATGAAATTGTTGTAAATGGGAACCAAATTTGTAGAACTTAATTTCTACTTTTTACAGTGCTTAATTTCATTTTTGCCTTACTAGTCAAAGACTTATACAACATTTTTAACAAGTTAGAACTTTTTTTGTCATTCAGTCATATAAAATAGCAGAAAACTAACATCGTGACGACAATGCACTAAATACTTTTTTTGTATTTTACTGCTATCAAATCAGAATGAAATATACTTTACCATAGATATTTTTCTTCTATTTTTGGTTTTCCAAAGCTATATTAAAGACAAATTTTTAAAGGTACAGCATTCAAAAAGTGCTTAATGAACTCCAACAGCTGCCTCAAAAATCTGTATATGAGTACATTTTCCCTAAGCAGTGATACATTATCCAAAGATGAAGAGTGCTCCTATTTTTAATAGGTAGAATGTACCTTTGTCAGTCTTGCAGAAGCTTTAATGGAGAAGAAATGGACTTTATTTTTGAAAGGTGAAATGAACAGGCATTTATATTATTAGAGAATGGTAGTTTTATTTTGGTTGAACGTAATGTAACAACCTTGAATTTCAGAGGACTCTGAGTGCTTCTATGTCCACTACCTATTGTTCTATTCTTCAATAATGAAAAATTCAACGAGCCGACCGTGATTCCATTACAAATATTATGTCTTGTAAGTTAGCATTTTTAGCACACAGGAGAAATTTTATGTAATAAAATTACTGTATCTCTTGGATTTAACAAATTTGTATTTGAACACATTCTATGTCTGATAATTCTTAATGGCACTTTTACTAATTTATTTGGGGATCTTGGGTACATTCTTAATTTGTGTTATTTATTCTTCACACTTCACTTGGAAGTGGGATATTCCCCCGTCACAAGTGTCCGACAGTGATAGACTTCCTGTGTTGTGACTGGACAGTTTTCCGGATCTTTTTTGGGAGATTTTCCTACAGTTTGGTTGTATGTCTTGAGATAACACCACTAAACAGCTCTCAAATTCTTTTTTGATTGATCAGTAGCTATGATGATTCTCCTCCATGACACTAAGGATTAGTTTATATATTTAAGAGAAATAATTGCTAAAATTAAAATGCCTCTATCAAGGAATGCTATTATAAATTATTGTTAACATTCTCAAGTATTAATTTTTTAATCTCATTGGTGTAGCAAACTCTAAGCCCAGCCACTCATTTTACATGGCCATGGTTAATCTTTTTATTAATAAAAATTATACTTAGAATAAACTTAGTCTTGTCAAGTTGCTTGTATTTCCTATTCTCTTGCCACTAATACATGCACATACTCCATCTCTTAACCTTTTAGAAGAGATTGTGGTAGGAAAAGGACTTTCATTCTATTAACCTCTTTCGATCTTAGTGGCTGGGCAAGAAGAAGAATTATTTTATAAACCTGTCTAAATACATGTTTATGCAACCATTAACTGCTGGATGGTAAGCTTCTGTGCAGCCCTCTGTCTCTTGGGATTTAAGAAAAAAAAAAAAATTCGTCCAGTCTGGCGCGGTGGCTCATGCCTGTAATCCCAACACTTCGGGAGGCTAAGGTGGGTGAATCACCTAAGGTCAGGAGTTCGAGACCAGCCTGGCCAACATGGTGAAACCCTGTCTCTACTAAAAATATAAAAAATCAGCCGGATGGTAGCACATGTCTAATCCCAGCTACTCCGGAAGGTGAGGCAGGAGAATTGGCTTGAACCCGGGAGGCGGAGGTTACAGTGAGCCGGGATTGCGCGACTGCACTCCAGCCTGGGCGACACAACAAGACACCGTCTCAAAAATACATCCATGCACTCTTCCTTTCAAAATGAAGAGAATTTTAAAGCCTTAAATGTGAGTTATTCTGGTTAGAGAAATGTCTACAGAAAGCCAGAGATAGGAAAGCAGCTTCTTTGATTCAGTGTGTGACTATTTTTTGAGTAAGGTGTTAAGAAATTGCACATAGGAAAGCTATGCAGTACTGATAAAGAATTTTTAGTGATACTTAAACCCTTCTAAGGGAATATTGCTTGAGCATCTTTACCACACATAAATTCAAATGTAGATAGTATTGTGCACTTCCAGAAGAACAAACCCATCTCCCCCTGCCCAAAAGATGGAAAAGATAGGCATATGCAGTGTAGTCAAGAATCAAGTCAGTTTACTTGTGCATTTGAGAGCACCTGTATTTTGGTATCTTATCTGTTCAGATGGTGATAGTTTAAGCTCTGCGTGTATGTCTTACTGTGGTTAAAAAGGGGGTTTGACGCACCTCCTCTTCCCCCCAAAAAAGCCTTGAAAAATGACCCTGCCTCATTTTGTAATTATGCGTGAGGTCAGAACATTACAACTCTTTTAGTATTAATCAAATGCTTAGCGATTCTGCGGTCTTGAGGTGTTTTCAGATGCCAAAGATACTGTTTGTAACTGAGATTGTCTCAACATTTTATTCCATGGTGGTATTAGACTGGAACCTCTTACCTCTGTATTAGAATGAAGAAACACCCACTTTACAGGCTTAACGTTAGTAAGTCTCTTGCTAGCTCAGTGTATCAAAGAGAAGGCACTACAAAGCTTAGTTTCCTCTAAAAGGAATTTGGCAAACAAACTGGCATAAGGGGAAAAGCTAATATTTGTGTTTTTTCAAATGTTCTACTCATGCTCCTTTGTAATCTGAATAGCAACAAGTTCTTCGAGGACTTTCCCACTAGAGGGCAATGGTGGGGAGCATTGGGTCATGCCTGTAATCCCAGCACTTTGGGAGGCTGAGGTGGGAGGATCACTTGAGACCAGCCTGGGCAACCAACCAAGACCCCATCTCTACAAATAGAAGATGTATTTTAAGAAATATATTTTAAGAAACCACTAGGGGGTGATCGTTAAGTTTTGAGCAGCAATGATGGGGTATTTTTAAGAATGTAAAAACGGGAGTCTTTCTGTACTGGAAGAGCTTCATTATTAAAAATAAAATCAGGGACCAAATACAGGATATTGTGTGCCCCAAACCACTGTTCACTATGACCCTCGAGTAAATATTTGAGAAATCAATGATGGAGGGGAACACAAATGCCAACTGTGAAGTCATTACTTACATTGTACTACAATAAAGTCATACAATATACAATAAAGTATTACAACGTAAGTAATGACATCACAGTTGGCATTTGGGTACGCCCAGCTAAGTTTTGCATTTTGCAAGTGTTTTGTTGAGTAGTTTGCATCAATGTTCATGAAGGATACTGATCTACAATTTTTTTATATTTTAATGTCACTGTCTAGTGTAACGCTGATCTCATAAAATGAATTTTCCTCTCCTGTATTATTGAAGAATATGGACAAAATTGGTATAATTTCTTCCTTCAGTGTTTGGCAGAATTCACTAGTGACAAATTATTAAATACCATTCTATCAAAGGTCACATCACTGAGTCGCTCTGTAAGGAGAACAACATTTGTCTCTTCAGAATTGAAATGTATTTCTGCTCTATTCACTAAATCGATTGCCTAGCAGTTAACAGAATGAAGCATCGTAATTTGAGTTTGTCAAACACCATTTTGCTTTCTTACAGTATCTTTGAAAATGTTAATTTGTTAGCCCAAATCTGTATCAAACTTTTGTTGCCCAACACTTAACTTATCAATGCCTAAAAAGGTTCACTGATCAGGTAATGCAGTTGTTAAGGAACACAGAGCAAAGTGGTTAGGATGTGCTGGACTGCCACACTAGGAATCCTGTGAGTTTAAGAAAATACAATGATGATCATTGCTTTTTGAGCCAGGGTCTCACTCTGTCACCCAGGCTGTAATGCAGTGGCCTGATCATGGCTCACTGCAGCCTCAACCTCTTGGGCCCAGTCCTCTCATCTCAGCCTCCCAAGTAGCTGGGACTACAGGTACCTGCTACGATGCCCAGCTAACTTTTTTAAAAAGTTTTTGTAGAGATGTTGCCCAAGCTAAGCTTGAATTCCTGGGCTCAAGCGATCCTCGCGTGTCCACCTCCCAAAATGTTGGGATTAGAGGCATGAGCCACCCCTGTGCCCAGCCTAGAAAATAGAAACCTCTCTCCTCCTCTCCCCTTCTTCCCTCCTCTCATCCTTACTTCTTTCTGTCCACTGGCAGCCAAGTGCTGACCTATTGGTAGACAAGTTTATCTGGTCATTGGATGACAATGACTCTCAACAGTCACTCCACAACTCAACTACACTAACTCCCCTTCCTTCTGTAACCATTTGAGTTTGTGCCTCCTCTTTTGCTTTAAAATTACAACCAAACCAGGCGAAACTACTTGTAATTGGATGTGGTATTATGGAATCAATGCTCAAAAATTTAATATAATTAATAGTAAAACATATTGCAGAGCACAGCATCGTTCCTGTTTTTCTTTTTTCTTTTTCTTTTATTTTATTTTTGAGACAGTCTTACTCCATCACCCAGGCTGAAGGGCAGTAGGCAGTGGTGCGATCACAGTTCACTGCCACCTTAAACCCTGAGCTCAGGTGGTCCTCCCACCTCAGCCTCCCGGGTAGCTGGGACTACAGATGTGCACCACCATGCCCTTTTGTATTGGAGATGGTGTTTCACTGTGTTGCCCAGGCTGGTCTCCAATGCCACTGCACTCCAGCCTGGGCGACAGAACAAGACTCTGTCTCTAAATAAATAAATAATTGGTAGGGCAAGTATATTACCTTATTTCTTATCAAAATTAATCATCTTAATAAATCAAGAAATAGTATTTGTATCCAGTGGCTATTGCCACAATCAAGTAAGAGAAGTACAACTATATCTAAAATGAGAAAAGTAAATATTAAGTGGGGATATCAGCTGGGCATGGTGGCTCATGTCTGTAAGCCCAACACTGGGGGAGGCCAAGGTAGGTGGATCACGTGAGGTCGGGAGTTAAGACCAGCCTGGCCAACATGGTGAGACCCTGTCTTTATTATTAAAAATACAAAAAAGCTGGGCATGGTGGTACATACCTGTAATCCCAGCTACTCAGGAGGCTGAGGCACAAGAATCGCTTGAACCCAGGAGGTGGAGGTTGCAGTGAGCTGGGATCCTGCCACTGCACTCCAGCCTGGGTGACAGAGTGAGAACCTATCAAAAAAAAAAAGGATATGATCAACTAAAAAATGGGTAGTAGGTAAAGGTGGAAGAAGAGGAATTATACTAATTTCATTACTGTTCCTTGCTGGGCATTAAAAGAAACTAAGGAAGAGAAGGATTAGGAGGATTACATAAATATATAAAGGTAACTAACTGAACAAAAATTAAAATTTCATCAGGCGAATACAACTAAGCAACAATAATAATAGTAAAAACCCAAACCATGATCTTAGTATCGAGATTGAACTGAGGACAAAATTATGACCACTTTATAGTGATAAACAGGGATAGTTATGAATATCTGTGCATCAACTATAAGGAATGAAGATACAAGAAGAAAGAAACAGGAGTAGCAGATATTAATTTACCTCTTGAAATCCATGACATGTAAAGGGAGGAAAATAATCAACTATATGAAAACTTAAATGACATTAAGGTGGTTCCAATAGATACATCAAACCTGATTTTGTGAACATAAACTACATCTTCTTTTCAAATATGGAATAGTCACCAAAAGGAATCATAAGTTAGGCCCCAGAGAACACCTTAAAAAAAAAAATCCCAAACTAGAAATGGTACAAAAACCAAATCTGACCAGGGAAAAATTCTTAAATACCCAAATTAATAAAGAATGAAATAAGTATCAAAGATACAAGAAGCTAGGAAAGGATGAGGGTGACTGCAGTGAGTACAGGGTTTCACTGGGCGGGGTGGGGGGCAGTGTGACAAAAGTGTTCCAAAGTTAGACTGTGATGGTTATGTAACTCTGAAAACTCTCAATATATAAAAAACATTAAATTGAACTTTAAATGGATGAATTGTATAGTATGTGAATTATATTTCAATGGGGCTATTAAAAAACAAGAATTAGGAATAATACAACTAGGAAGCAGGAATTCAATTTAAGAGTCAATAAAATAAATGATTAGGTAATATAATCAAGAAAAAAACAGAGGACAAACAACATAAAATAAGAAATAAAGGTAACATCCTATAGAAATAGAGATAATCTTCCTAAAAGCACCAGGCCCCAATGTTTCCATAGGGAATTACAACATCTCCTTAAAGAAAGTAATTTCAATGTCATCTACGTAAGACCAGAGAAAAGGAAACCTAACTATTTTCAGTAAAATGAGTATAGTAAGCTGGGCGAGGTGGCTCATGCCTGTAATCCCAGCAGTTTGGGAGGCTGAGGCAGGGGGATCCCGTAAGGCCAGGAGTTCGGGACTTGCCTGAGCAACACAGGAAGACTCGGTCTCTACAAAAAATACAAAAAAATAGCTGGACGTGATGGCAGGCACCTGTAGTTCCACCAACTGGGAAAGCTGAGGTGGGACAATCACTTGAGCCTCGGAGGCTAAGGCTGCAGTGAGCCATGATTGTACCACTGCACTCCAGCCTGCGTGATAGCGTGAGACCTTGTCTCAAAAAAATAAAAAATAATAAAATAAAATAGCATATGATTAATAAAAAACTTTTTTTGAATGTTTAAAACCTTTTAAAAGGAGCACCTAAAAGGAAAATAGAACAAAGTGGGATCTCGTAGTCCTGACTGGGAAAACAATTCTATAAATATGTCAATAATCCCCTCAATATTTTTTTATTTGGCATTAGAAACCTTTTATTGAGACAAGGTAAACAGTGGGCTGAAAATAATACAGGGTGAAGGAAGGTTGAGGAAACCAGTATGAAGTCATCTCAAATGATGAACTAAATACATTCCAAAAAGTGAGGTCTTAACCAAAAAGCCTTTAAATGGCATTCCAAAAAGAAAAAAAAGGGGGGGGGGGTCATTTAAATCTCTTGAATTGACTAAAAGAGCTCAATTATGTACCCAAAATCTGTACAGCAGGGGCCTGTTTTCAGCAGGTAAGCCTACATACAAGAAAGAACCTCTTACTCTTGTTATAATTATCCTGTTTTGTTTTGTTTTACAGGAATATATAACCCCCATCCCCACAGTGTTAGTCCATAAGGCCTCAGTGACTGCATAGAAATATGGACCTACCTCTACTAGAGAACTATTTACACTGCACTGTAAATACACATGTATGTGTTCACCCCCACAACTAAGCTGTCAAGCCTTGAGTGAAGGGGTAGTTACAACTCATTCATTTTGTATCTACAGGGACAACAGGCATTCAATACTTTTGCATGAATAATAGTGACACAAATTAGCATTCTTCTTGGAATGGAAAACTTTCTGGGAAGTTCATTCTTTTTCTCTTTTTCAAAAGTGCATCTCGCAGCGCCAACTATTTTTCTCGGAAGGAACGCTTATTGTTTGACCAGACATTCTGGCTATACAGCATCATCATAAAGTTCTTCTGTTTTTTCTTCTCTTTATTTTTTGAACTGGAAAATGGATTCATTTTGGTTTTCTTCCTCACAAATCCTTTTCAGTCTGTCTTTCCAGACATTGCAGCTGATATTCTTGTCTTTTTGTCAGACTTTGGCTTTGGCTTTTTATGAAGGCGTTCAACGTCCCGAAGAGAAAGTAATTCACTCCTGGGCTCTTCGTCACTGTCAATTTCAATATATTTCCTCTTCTGGGATTTCTCAGGGGCCAGCGTCAAGTTCTTTTCTCATTTGGGCAATGCGGATTTTCTGGAAGTCTTCCTGACTTAAAACTCGACTGGTGCTAATGGCTGCTGCTTTGGCTTTCTGCTCTTCCATGGGCATGCTGTTCAGCTTCTTGGAAATTTCTTGCTGTTCTTCATCGGAAGAGTGTTGAACATCAACCCATTCCCCATCGGCATCCTCCTCCTCACTGAGACTGGTACTTCCCCATCCATCTTCATCATTTTCAGCATTCTCCTCTTTCTCAACTTCCAGAACTTCTGCTCCTGGAATGTAATCTTTAGCATCTAATTCTCCATATTACTGTATTCTTGCTTCTACAGAGGCTTCTGTAGGCTTACCCCAGAATTTCTTCTGCAGCATCTGAGGATTCAGTGTTCGGAAGAGCTGAATCAAAGTTCTACTAGACATCATTACATTCTTATTCTTGTGTGGTTTATACTGAGCCAGGCCAGGTCTTGGAGAAGCTCTTCAGTCATGGCCAGAGGACACTGAGCTGTTATCTCTTTTATAGCATTGATTCCTACTGTCATGGCTTCTCCAGAGTTCTTGTCAATAACAAAATTGTTGACCACAGTCATAAGCAATGATTGAATAATCGCTGGGTGTACTAGGTGATGAGATGCTTGTGCAGCAAACAAGGATCTTTGTTACTTCTCTTTGGTGGGCTGCAGAAACCTTTGCAAAAAGTGACAGAAATTGAAGAGGAAGAGCTCATGAATTCCCACCAATCTGGAGATGAGGTTCATGAGCATCATCTTCACTACCAACCTCTCCTTACAGCATTCAAGCTGCTTTAGTAGTTTTTCTGCAAAATCTTGGGGATCATGAATCAAGTGAATAGCTAAAAAGTTAAACACCTCTGGTTTTTTCTTCTTCTTTTGTTTTTTGAGCACTTTTATTGCCTTTTCCAATGTTTTCTTGTTTTGGGAACTTTTCTTCCCTATAGCATATTGTGCTAGCAGGTCTCTTGCTGTTGGTCTGTCATCCTCAGATTCGGAGTCACTGTCCTGTATTTCATCTTCATCTTTCCCAAGAAAGAATGTCATAGCAGCAACTAATATCTTGGTGACCTTAGAGAAACAGGCAGTTGTGATAACACTGACAGTTTTGGTATCATTCCAGATGTTCCTTCTGTAGTGTTCAGTCATAACATCTAAAGACATCTTGGCTGTGGTTGCATTGCTATCTCTTAACATGGTGTACATGAAATTTTGCAATACTACATCCACTTTATTCTTGTGTTTTGTGTTTGCATTCTTGATATCAGTCACGATATGTGTGTATAAAGTCTTTTGCAGAAGCTTATCATGGCAACATAGAAGTTCAAAGAAGAGCTCTGGTAGGCTTGATGGATTGATGAGATTCTTATTTCTCAGCAAGATCAAAGCTTTGCAAAACGTCATTCGAAGATCTGGATCCAATACGGTATGATTACAGGACATAAGATCTTTCACCACTTGAAGAAAATTACTTAGATACCCTGTGTAGCAGAGACTAATCTGTAACAAAGCACAGGCTCTTCTGAAGTTTCTTTCTCTCCTATTATTCAGATGCACATATCTAGGATGTTCTGTACCATAAACATTACCAGTTCTGCTAGTTCTTTGCTGGGTTTATTTGGTTGCAATTTGAAAATCTCCACACTGGATGTGTAGTGATTATACTGCTGTAGAAACTCCTCGATGTAGGGCGGTGGGTCTCGCTTGATCAGATTCTGTAACTGCGGCAGGTTGCTGGGCAGCTTGTTGTTGTTTCTGCTGGACATTTTGGCTGCAGACTAGCTTCACGGCAAGCAGTTTTTAAAAAACTCAGATGGCCAGCAGCCGCCAATCCCTACCAGCTGAGGCTTGAACTCCTGCTTCCAGGTATGACTGGAAACAGCACTCAATCTATTAATAGAGTTCATTTCTGACCAAAATCTTAAAATAATTTGCAAAGGGATTTGACAAATCAATCCTTAGAAAAAACCTTTTAGCATGGAATTTTTCAAATATATTTAAAAATTAGAAGAATAATGCATTACATAGCTTCAATAATTGCTAATACATGGTCAATCTTGGACAAGTCCATTTTTAAGTTCATCTGAAGAGTAACTAGTCATTAACATCTGAAAAAGACAAACGAAGAGAAACTTTAATAGTTATCTAACAGAGGTATTGTAGATAGCCCTGAAACAGACTCACAATTTTGTGGGCATTCAGAGAGTGACAAAGGTACAATTTCAAATCAGGGTAGAAAAGATGGCTTAAAATTAATATTATTGGGTCAATGGGCTACAAAATTGAGAATTGAATTTAAATCATTTACAGCATATGGAAAATAAATTTCGGATGGATTAGAGCTCTGAATGTAAATTTAAGCCTATAAGAAAATTAGAAAAAGTTATAGGGGAATTATAGATTAATAATCTTGGTGCGAAAGTCTCCCCAAGTCATGTAAGAATGATAAATCTGATTACATGAAAATCTTACGCTTCTACACAGTGAAAAAAAAATTAAAAGACAAGTCAGAGACTGAGAGAAACATATGTGACTCATAAATCAGACCAAGGAGACAGGGCGAAGACATGGAGACGTGAAGTAGGAGGTGTGCTCAGGAAAATAGTTAAATGTCATCCACGTACAGGATAAACGGCTTCCCACGTCATGTCCCAGAAATCGATTAGTCGATGGGATTTGGGTGATTGCTTTTTTCTGTTTTTCCTGAATTTTTCTCTTTCTTTTTTATTTCTTTCCCTTTCTTCTTTCTCTCTTTCTTTTTTACAATGATGGTGTGTTTGTAATCGACATTTTAAAAATTCTATAACAATTAAATTTGGGGGCGGCCTTCCCTTTTTTCCCGTATGGAGTGTTGTTTCAGCAGCTTTATTTGGAGTTTACAAGTGGAAGCACCTGGGTTTGGGGCTTCCTTTGTGTCCCCAAGACACCTATTGCAGGAGTGAGTCCTAAGCAGTAAAAAACAGATGCATGTGCAGGGCTGGATGAAGCACTATAGAGCCTGTGTGAGAGGAGGCACGGGCGCTAACACAGGAGCGCACTTCCTCATTCCGCTTCTTCTCATCCTCTCTCGCAGTGCCATTGGCATCACTCATCCCATCCGGTCATCCCAAGTCACACGCAAGAGTTCGTTCCCGGCGCGCGCGTCAGCTTGACTCGCGCGTCTCCACGTCCGGGACCCGCAGGGGAACGCCCCCGCCCCGTCCGGTCGCTTGTTGTGTTGTCATCACGTGGCCTGGGCGGACCCTGACGTCAGTGGCAGGGGAGGGACAGCGCAGGCGCAGAAAAGGGGGCGGGGGACTCGGCTTGTTGTGTTGCTGCCTGAGAGCCTGAGACGGTCCTGCTGCTGCCGGAGCCCTGCCAGCTGTCCGACGATGTCGTCCCACCTAGTCGAGCCGCCGCCGCCCCTGCACAACAACAACAACAACAACTGCGAGGAAAGTGGCCAGTCTCTGCCGCAGCCGGCCGGCCTCAACAGTGAGTGAGGGGCCGAGGGCTTAGTGAAGGGGATGGGGGAGGAGGAGCCGCCCCGGCCGCCGCCACCGGCGCGGCGCGGGAGGCGGGAGGAGAAGGCAGCTCATTGGCCCAGGCCGGTGATGTCCGGGTGACTGACAGCTCCCGTCACCTGTCAGGAGGATGGGCGCCTGCCTTGCTCCGGGCCTCTCTGTTGCCTCCTGGGGTCATGGGCCGGGGGCCGTTTGGGTTCGCGGTCCGGGAGCGGCGCGGGTAGCGCGGATACCCCTGGTGCTGGGGGTGGTCCCCAGCAGCGGAGCCGGGCGGGGCGGGGGCGGGCCTGGGGGGCGGGGAGGCCGGGTGGGCGGAGCGGGCCGCGGAGGGGACGTGGGCCGGAATGGGGACGTGCGGCGGGGACGCCGGGGGATGGACGCGCGGGAGCGGGGCGGGGCGGGCGGATGCCGCGGGACGTGTCTGGGATCAGGTGTGCGGGGCCCGCGGGCGGGCAGCGTCTGGCGGGCTCGGGAGCCCCCAGCGAGCATTCCTTTGTTGCCACATGTTTGTCAGGAAAATTCATTTGCTGGTCTAGGGGTGGCTTCAGTCACGTGTGGGGTGAGAGGCTGTGCCTTGCTTCTCCTTTTTCCTTTTTTTATTTTTTTTTTATTAGCTTTCTCGAAGTTGCCCAAGTGATTTTTTTTTAAGCGATGAGGTTGTGCGCCCAGTAAACCTGAGAGCAGCCTCCTGAACCACCCGGGACTGCACACGTCAGGGAGTCTGGGGCCATGCATTTAAAGAAACGGAATTAAAAACGCACTCGGGCAATTGAAAGTTAACGGGCAAGGCTGATGGACAACCCAGGCCAGGGTCTTTTCATAACATTCCACTGCCCAGACATCTTGTCCTCAGATTGTTCCTGGTCGTGAGAACCGGGAGCCTTCTTGGAAGGGTTCTTGCCTAACCTTTCTTTAATTCAACTCTTGGGAAAGAGATAATGGGGGTAGCGAGCATATGGCCAGATGAAGGCTTTTCAAAACCGCTTGGATGCTTAAAGGTCATGCAGTATCTTTCGTAAGAGGGAGATGCTTCCAGCGTGGCCTGAAGATTATTCTAGGGAAGAGAGTTTCAGCCCTCACCAGGTAGCAACGGAGTTTGGAGATTTTAAGACGGATGCTGCTGCTCCACGTTTTTTGATGGGTTAATACCCAAAACCTTTAAGTGTCCTACATTCCAGAATGTAAGATGGTTATGTTATTTCCCACAGTAAATTAGGATGAATGTCTGAGTCATTAAACGTTACTCGTATCACATATTCCTATGCAATTTTAAGTTATTTGCCCATGTTTAGCATACTGTCTTAGATTTGAGAATGGGAAGAAACTTCAGAGCTAGCTAACTGCCTCCTGTTGTTTACCTGTAGAGAAACAGGTCTAGAGTTAAGAGCCTGGTCCAAGTTCACAACTGGCTGGGAGCAAAGCGGAGGTTGTCATGTTCAGCCTGTCTACTGCTGTTTTCAGGGCTTTTTTTTTTTTTTTTTTTGAGATGGAGTCTCGCTCTCTCTACAACCTCCACCTCCCAGGTTCAAGCGATTCTTCTGCCTCGGCCTCCTGAGTAGCTGGGACTACAGGTGCTTGCCACCCGCCCAGCTAATTTTTGTATTTTTAGTGGAGACGAAGTTTCGCCATGTAGTTGGGATTACAGGCGCCCGACACCAACCCAGACTAATTTTTGTATTTTCAGTAGTGAGGGGGTTGGTCTCTCACCATGTTGGCCAGGCTGGTCTCAAACTGCTGACCTCACGTGATTAGCCCGCCTGGGCCTCCCAAAGTGCTGGGATTACAGGCTTGAGCCATCGCACCTGGCCTCTTTTCAGGACTTCTTTTCAGTGGTCCAGAACCTCCTGCTGGTCTGTGTGTCTTATTTTGTCAGTGTGTTATTCTACCTAATTCACAAAGGTGGCCCACCTTTCTGTTTCTTTTTAGTATTCTGTTTCTTAATTGTGCAATTTTCTTATGAGTGAAGATACTTGGTAGGTGTACATGATTTCACTGAAATCTAAGGGATTTTCATCTTCCTTTGACCTTTTAACAACAACAAGAATAAGGGCTGAGCCAGGCAGGGCGTGGTGGCTCATACCTGTCATCCCAGCACTTTGGGAGGCCGAAGCGGGTGGATCACTTGAGGTCAGGAATTCGAGACCAGCCTGGCCAACATGGTGAGAGACCAACCCCCTCTCTACTGAAAATACAAAAATTAGCTGGCCTGTTGGGCGCCTGTAATCCCAGCTACTCAGGAGGCTGAGGCAGGAGAATCGCTTGCTGAATCGGGAGGCAGAGGTTGCAGTGAGCTGAGATCGGGCCACTGCACTCCAGCCTGGGTTACAGAACGAGACTCTGTCTCAAAAAAAAAAAAAAAAAGGGCTGAGCCATATGTCATTGTTTATCTTGGAGTCTGACAGACCTATGAGGAGTTTGATGTCTTTGGCCAGTCGGTTCCTGCTTGGTTGACATCAGCTCTTACAGAGGTGGAAGTACTCAGCCTGCATGGGATATCAAAATGTTGCTTTGGGAAATCTAGATAGAAAATATTTTACGTGGCATAGGGTGAGCTTTCTGAAAAGCTTTTAGATAATGCCATATTTAATTACTCCCCTCTTTCCTCTTAACTCTGTTCGTTTTTTTAGCTCATTACACAACACTGCACTAAACGAAACAAGAAGCCTCATTGATTCCTTGAAGTGATTTTTGGGCATTGGGCAAAACAACTTATTCAGGCGCCTAGTACTATCCAAATTGCGATAAGTTGAAGGACTTTGTTGGGTAAAGTTGCACAACTGAAAAACAGGAGATGAAATGTACAGATTTTCTTGGGTTTGGGACTTTTTATCTTTGGTTCAGGGAACAAAGCAGAGTTTCAGTGGCAAATTATTGAAATATTTGAATAATGAAGTATTTCTGTGATTTTTTTTTTTTTTAAACTTTACCGCTGTGGAGAGACTGTTCACTTTCATTAAAAATTACAGGGCAAATACCCAAACTCCTTCCAAGTCAAAAGGATGTTGTCCAGTTTGTTTTATTGTTAAGAAAACTATCAACTTCCTTAAGAATATTTGAATAAGCGTCAATTGGTCAAATAAGGAAAATCAAAGTAGTAGTATAAGTCGTAGTGTAATTCTTGGTATTGAGAAATACAGCCTTTTTTTCTTTTCAAATTTTTTCTTTTTTTTTTTTTTGTTTGTTTTTTTGAGACAGGGTCTTGCTCTGTCACCCAAACTAGAGTGCAGTGGTGCAGTCATAGCTCATGGCAGCTTCGACCTCCT